GTTAGGCACCCTTACCCCACCACGGGCTCCCGGAGACCCGACGGCTTCAGCCTCGGCAGTTATTGAAAAGGGTAGTGGGAGGGGGGAGGGATCACAGAATATGGGGAGCTGAGGAGAATTCAGGGCAGAAAGTGGTCTGGTTTTTGTCCGTGAAACCCCAGCGCAATGCTTATAGCATACAGTAGGCGCTTAATAAATGCTTGTTGCAATGCATTGGATTAGGTTTGCTTTCTTTTCCCTACCCTCTATCCTCTGTACCCAAGGGGATCGATGTCTATTAGAAATCCTGACGAGTTTAAGCCCCAGGCCGGGCCGCGGGGAGGAAGTGGCTAACTCTAGTAGAACTGGGAATATTTACAAGGCTTCGGTATTCATGAATTAAAAAAGGCTAAAGTAGAGAGCACTCAGTCAATGAACACAATGGTAGATGTCCTCCTGAGCACTTATTGTTACTTATGGAAACTCCATTAGGATTTGTTTTGCTTAACTGTCCTTAGTTACTAGGGCGGGTTTTACTGGAATAGGGATGGGGGTGGGGGGGAGGAAAGGAATGCTAGAAAATGACTAATTTTTTAAGAGCATCAGTTTTTAAAAATGTATTAGGGATAAGAGACTTCAAGAAAAGGAAGAAAAAGACACGCTAAAATAGATCCTCTCGTGTTCCTATTGTCACGAAATGGAAGTAAATATCCTACAGGGCAATTGCCCTTTTCTACACTCTTTCAGGAAATGGGGAATGGAGGAAGGAATCGTAACCAACCAGGGCCCGGAAACTGCCTTGTGGTCGTCCCTTCCCCACCCCCTCCCAGCTGCTAGAGCTTTGCCCACTGAGATTACTTTCCATCTACTCCGCATACAGCGATTTCTATATTGGCTCTCCCCTTCGAATATAAGCTTCCTGAGGGCCAGGGTTGGTTTTGCCTTTCTTTTTATCCCCAGCACCTACCAAAGTTCCTGGCACATAGCAAAGTAGAAAGTCTTTTTTTTTCCCCTTTTGTGCGTTTTTCTTTGTAGAAGATGGTGGATTTCAAATTGAGTTTTCTTAGACGCAGTATTCCTAATGTTACTAACCAGCCTTAAGGAGCCGCCAATGTTAATCATGAATATAAAAGAGTTGAATGAATAATAAATGCTTGTTGACTGATGTACATAATAGACCCTCTTTTAATTGGCAAAGTGGGGCTTGACCGTGGTTTGCACTGTTTCTGTGAAGACCCATCCCTGAAGTTGGCAAATCAGTCCTGTTTAGGGGTGGGCATGCCAGAACACTGCCGTAGAAACTGGGCAGATGGAATGTCCTCATGGAGGGAGCCAGCTTTGGAAGAAGGCTCTGCCAGGGGGAGAAAGCACAGTCTGTGCTAGGCAGAGCACAGGTCTTGGAAATCAGAGGGCCTTGGTTCAAACCCCACCTCTGATCCTTACCCCAGTGACCCAAGACAAAACTTCACCTCCTGAGCCTCAGTGGCTTCATGGGGAAAAAAGAGGGAGTTACACTAGATGGCCTCTAAGGTGCCTTCAGGCTCTAGACCAGTTCTAGAGCTTTGGGTTCTAGAGACTTTGGGTAAGTCACTTCCCTTCCCTCAGCCTCAGTTTCCTCCTCTGTAAAAATAAGAGGCTGGTGACCTCTGAGGTCCCTTTCAGTTCAAATTCTATTCTCCTATGATCCTACCATCCAAAGTCACTGCCACCTCCTTGTGCCTCAGTTTACTCCTCTATAAAATGAGGGCATTGGGCTAGGTGGCCTCTGAGGTCCCTTCTAGCACTACATCTCTGACTTATGGAAAGAGTGCTGGGCTTCTACACAGGAGACCAAGGTCTGAATCCTGGCTTTTAACAGCACCTGTGTGAACATGTGGGAGTCACTTTCCCTCTCTGGGCCTCAGTTTCCACCTCTGTCAGCTGTGGGTCAGGCCAATTGCATTGCCCACTTTGCAGGGTTACTCTGAGGACAGTGCTCTTAAACCCTAGGTTGAAAGACCAATAGAGGTTGTTATATTATTAATTACTCTTTTTCACAAAACATACTGGCCATTGTAAAAAGTTCTGTTTCCTGAGGTTTTTCCCTCAGTCTAGCCTAAGAGGGCAAGGGAAATCCCCACCTGCTCCACACTGGGGTAGTGGGAGCAGCTGAGGGGACAATGGCTGCTTCGCACTTGGGAGCCATGGCCTCCCACCTTACCGAGCAAGGCAACTATAAGAGTGCCCTACTCACCCCCTCCCAAACTCTCCCCACCCCACCCCCACACACACTCCCTGAAGCCTAAATGGTAATTGGATCAGACATGTCCATTTTTTCTTTTCAGCCCCTTAAAACCAGATGCTTTCTATGGGTCCTACTGATGGTACTAGAGGGGGTACTCCTGGGGGCTGAGAGCTTTCCCTGCCTTCTCGGTTCTGTGAGTAAAGAAGGGAGCCCTATTTACAACATAAGATCCCTTCAAACCCAAATCCCTATGATTCTCTCATATATTCCAGGCTGCTTTTTCCCCCTCTCTCAGTACAGTCCTGTGGTCCCCATTGGCTGAAAATGAATACTGTATAATACAAGGCTTCAGTTGTCCGGAGGTCACTTATCCATCAACCTCAACTGTAAAAAAACAGGGCTGAGAACAGGAAGTAGGCAAAAAAAAAAAAGATGTCTCTTAGCAGCCAAAACAGATGGCACAAAGTCCAAGCTGAAAACTCAGAGAAGGGTGCCCCAGACCCTCACTCGGAGCCTATTAACTTTTATTTTAGACAGAATTTGAAAAAGCTTGGTAGTTAAAGTTTCCATTTCAGAGCAGAATAAAAGGCAGGGAACTGCTAGAGGCAGACATTGATAGCAGCAAAAATGACAGTTGGCAGTGAGGGATTAGGATAGGGTGAACAGGAACAGAAACAAGGCCTGTGGTTCATTGGTATAAGGAACTCCCAGGTGAGGAAAGTCCCTCTTCCAATGCAGGTCAGCACCTTTTCTGAAACTTAAGAGTCTTAGAGAGTTGCCTGGGCCACTGTGAGGTTAAGCTACTTGCCCAAAGCCACCCAGCCAATATGGGCTATAGGTGGGATTTGAATCCACATCTTCTTGGCTTCCAGGCCAGCTCTATGCCCTCTATTATAAATGATAATTAATAGGGGATTATAAAATAGAACTGAAATTATAAATGGCACAAGATATAACAATTTGGGGCCAGTTAGTACAGGGGTAAAGAACTCATGACACTGAGAACCTCAATGTAATAATATAACAATGGGGAAGCATGATGATCTCAAGCCATCATGAAAAAGTTAAATAAAACAGCTTCATCTGTTTAAGAAGGAAAGGAAACATCTAATAAATACATCTTAGGTCTTCACTCAAAATGGTTGACAACAATTTTGACTATCTGGAAAATTCATATGGAATGGTTCATCCCTACATAACACCAAGTACATGAATTGTTTGCATCTGATTTCAAGGGGAAAATACCACATCAAATTCTGGTGCACCACTGAGGTCCTTAATTTTCAAAGCACCTCAGCCAGAAAACATGTGCATACACACACACACATACACACACACACATCAAAATGGACAGTGGAGAAACAGACATAAACAGGCCAAACGGTTTTATAAGGGAAGTGAGCAGACAGCTGTGGATGGAATTGAGTTGAAGGGCATGGTTAAACTTTCAGGACTTAGAATCCCTTGATCTTGAGGCTTCAAGAAACTAAAATGGGGGATTTGAACGAGCGAGGATAAGCAGACAAAACTTGCCTTCCTGTCTAATGCTTTTTGTTCTTAGAAGATTCCCCAATGGGAATCCTATTGCATTCCAAATGTAGCTTCTGTCCAGAGTTGGTCAGAGGCCATGTTTTGAGTCAAGCAAAAGCAAGATTTGTGTCCCGTTGAGGTTATGTGCCAGCTGATCTTCCTTTCTTCCACCACTGAGATTCCCAGTCACATAACCCCCACCAAGGGGCCAGGCTTTCTGTAGCCAAGGCATCACTCCCTCATCTGATCAAGCTCATGTGCTAATGGGGAAGGTTGTAGGATGCCAGGGCCTTCCCTCTTTTTTCAGGCCTTGTAAATCTTAGTATAATAGAGCTCAGAAACCCTGAAAAAGACAGTCTAGGTCGGAGGCTTCCAGTCTTTTCTGGTTTCCATACCCCCTTGGCTTTCAAGAAACCTTCCCACACCTTCTACAGTATGAAATACGAAATAAATTCTAGAAACTGAAGAGATAAATTGTCATCAAGAAAAATTACCCCTTGGCCAAGCTTTTCAAACCCCCTGGCCATATACATGCCCCAGTTTGGGAACCCAGGATCAATCCCCTCATTTCATAGAAGGGCAAACTGAAGCCTAAAGGAGTATGGTCTACAGCTGTGGCCTGCTAGAGACAATGGCCCCAACTTTGTTGTCTAAATCAGAGGTGTCAAACACTGAAGAGGGCATGCGACACCCCCCCCCCCCCCCCCCCCCCCCCCCCGTGCTCCTGAGTGTAGCCCAAATCAGATTAAAATGGAATTGGGAAATATCCAACAAATGAAATAAAAGGACGATGAAACAGACACAATATTACATTTTAAAGTTAGGTCCATATGAAGTCCACAGGGATCCTTGTGTACAGATTAGTGGTCCTCAGTTTCTATTTGAGTTGAACATCACTGGTCTAAAATATTAGCGTTCCTGAGATTGAGAAAAGCACGTATAAAGCACATCAGTTCCATCTGAGTTTACTCTTAAAACTTTCATGCTGGACTGTGAAAGACAATCATTTTATTGTTGCTGCTGTCGTCTTTGCCAGCAGTTTTGGGAAAAAGATAGCCTTCCACCAAAGGGACCATCAATTTCTGCTGTGGGGCGAATAAAAAGGGCCTAATCTTCAACCTTGCAGTGGCTTCTAGGGAAAACAAGGGAGCCAGATTTCCTCCTTATTCTGATATCAAATCCCCTCTTTATTAGCAGAGCAAATCCAAAACAAAACCAAAAGTACTCATGATGCCTCCACCGAGGTTGCATAGGCCAACTGACTTACCTCCACCTGAAGGCCTGCACATCCCCTGAGGAAGTCCTTAATGTTACTGATGCAGTCAGCTTCCGTTTGGGGCTCCTGATGGTACTAAAGAAATGATCAAGAGAACCTCAGTGAGTTGGGTTTCCCAAGCAGGCCCAGCATGCCTCATGTAGGGTTTGCTTTTGGTTTGCTTTTTTTTTTTTTTAAGGCGAAGGGGAAGGCACTGTCAAACCAGGAACAGAAATAACCACTGAAGGAAGTGATGTAAAAACCTAAAAAACGGTTTTTTGTTTCAAACAAATATCAGCCTCGGAACAGGGCCCCAGGCTAGAGACCCACTGATGGGTCCCCCAACTTTGAGTCCCACGTTATTGGGACTATATGTGTTTCTTCATTCTCTGTCCCCATCCCAAGGTATTAGGATGTGTCTGGATTTTTTAAACTGTTTTCTTGTTTTTAAATGTTTGAAAAGCACATTTTCCACCTTGCTGTTTTCTGCAGTGTCATAGGAACCTTCATAGTATCAGAGATTTAGGGTTCATAGGACCCAAGGGGCTGTCTGGTCCAACCTTCTCGCTTGACAGAGGAGGAAACTAAGGGGACAGAAAGAGCCTGGTCCAAGATCACACATAGGATCCTAGCTTCAGAGCTGGAAGGGACCTCAGAAGTCCTTGAGTCTAACTCCTTCATTTGATAGAGGAAGAAATTGAGGCCCATTAAAGTGAAAGTTCTTGCTCAAGGCCCCACAGTGGACCACAGATGAGGCCATCCAGGCCAACCCCCTCCTTTTACAGATAGGGAAACTGAGGCCCAGGGAAATTAAATGACTTTCCTAGGATCTCATAGCTGATAAGTGACCAAGCTGACACTTACAACCAGGACCTCTGATTCCAAATAGAAATCTTTCCATTGTACCCCACTTGGACACTTGATCCAACAAGTTTCAGGTCCAAACGCATCCTGCACAGTATTTTAATATATAATTTTTCTAGCCTAGAAAGTTGTTACAAACTAGCTGTAGAAGATCAAGTCCAAGTCATATTCAATCCCCACCTCTACTCCCCTGGCGGCCTCCATTTATTTGGGCACACCTGCTAAATATTGGAGTTCTCTTTTAGAAAACTGGCTTTACATTTGGAGTAAATTTTCTAGCCTCAGGGGGAGTGTGGAAAACTTTAACTGTGCTAATCTAAAAGGAGGGATGGGAGGGAAATGCCTACATTTTAATCTTCCTCAAATCATGTGTTCCATTTAAAATATCCATTTAGTTTCAGCTGTTATCAGAAGTCACGCATCCTAGCTTGGTTCTCCTTGTTGCTAAAAGTAAACTTTTAAAGAAACACAGACATTCTTTGCAGCTATGCCCCTAGTCCTAGATTTAAACGTCTTACATCTGGATTCTGGTTAAATTGTGTCCTTGGTGTGTGCAGAGGACTCTTAACATCTCACTCACTCTAACAGGGAATACCTTTCCCATGGAGGTTGTCCTGACCTTACTGAGCTAGTTACCAAGGGCCCATAAACCATTTCCCATATTTCTCGGACTTGAATAATGAGGAATCATTTCTAGCTAGTGGAAAGATACCAAGAGGTATTTGACTCCCAGGCTATGTGGGCTAGGCAGTCTGAAGTCCAACAAACATTTGTTAAGTGGCTATTTTTATGTGTCAGGCACCGTGCTATGTGCTACAGAGACGGAGACAAAAATAACCACCAGTCCTTGCCCTCAAGAAGCTTGCCTTCTACTGGGGAGACTTGACGTGTAAACAGAAAGGCAAATACACAACCTAAGGAGAGGGAAAAGGAAAGGACCAAAGGCCAACTTGGGAGATAAAGAAAGGCCTGATAGAGGAGAGGGCAGCTGAGCTGAGCCTTGATGGAAGAGCTAGGGATTCTAAGAGCTGAGGGGAGCAGGGAGGGTATTCAAGGCCTGGGGGAAAGCCAGGGCCCAGACCCAGCAGCAGGAGGTGGAAGGCCCTGGGTGAGGAAGCAGCCAAGTAGGCCAAGGAAGCAGACCATGCCCATTTCAGTTACCTTTTCCACAGCTCCAGGAAGAAGACGATTTAGCAGTTTGCATAGCACTACCCCATTTTTCAGAGACACCTTCAAGAATTCCTCTGGATCACAGATGGTCTTCTTGGGGGAATTTAAAACTCCCAAAGAGATGAGCCATGTCACGATGCGTTCCTCGGGATTCATTGCCGAGGACTGTGCACCCGAAGCAGCTGCAAGGTCTCACCCACATCCGTGATTGCATTGGGTGCTGTCTTCCTTTTTTCCGGGCTCTCTTTGGGTGTTTGCTGAGCAAACAGTGGAGACAACTCTTCTCTGGCAGCAGTCCGACCACCACTCCAAAGGTGGGATCTTCTAACCACAGAGACCACACTCAGTGATGCAAAGCTAGAAAGAGCAAGGGCAAGAACCATGGGCACTCATGGTGGTATTTCTCAACACACAGCACCCCACCCCCAACTGAAAAACAAGCTCATACTGACAAACACTTGAAGGAGCCAGGGCTGCAAGGGAAGGAAGTGAAGAGGATGCTGGGGAGGGAGGGGACAGAAGGAAGTAGAGACTCTTGGAAGAGAGAGGTAAGCCAGCCCTGCAGGGAACCTTGCAAATGAGAAACTGAGTGGGCCAGCCTGGGGACAAGCTGTCAATAGTCTAGCCTCAGTGAACAAATCTGGCTTCTGTCAGGAAGTGGGTGCCAACTGGCTTGGATGTCCAACAGATCAGATCTGGGCTTTCTCAGGGAATCAATGGAAATGGCAAGAAGGGAGAAGGAGGAAACGTATCTCGGGAATGGCTGACCGGCTGCAAGTACTCACCCAAGGACGTTGGGTGCCACGACTTCTTGGGAGACTCTTTAAGAGGTCTGGGGAGGAGGAGTCAAAAGTGGAAAGGCTGGCAGGGTTGCCAGCCATGACAGAAGCAGGGAAGATGGCATTTTCGTTCGTGGCAAAGAGGGAAATAGGAGAAGGAGAACATCTGCCACCCTGTTTACTTGCATCCTTTCATACTTCTTTCTGGCCCTGATGCCCATTGCACGATCCAGCTGCAAAACTCACGCCAAAGGCTTGGACACAGTAATGTGGACCAGAACATGTTGCTTTAAAATTAAGTGTGTCTGGGGGTGGCAGGAAAGAAGGATTGGGGGGATTGAAGAAAAGAATGACAAAAACAGGAAGAATTGGAAAACAAAATAGCATTGCCAGGAGTCTATACCACACACTGGGAAATTGGGGGTCTTCCAACTCTACTTCATGGGCTGGTTGGGAGAAAAGAACTTTGCAAACCTAAAAACACTAGCCAAATGAAAGCTGTTGCTATTATTTAGATTAGAGGAGCCAGAGCTGAATGGGGCCTTAGGAAACCCAGGGTTCAAATCTTGCCTCAGACATTTACTAGCTGTGTGACCCCGGGCAAGTCACTTGACTTCTCTGTGCATCAGTGTCTTCTCTTCTGAAGAAGGGCAGGTAGGACTGCGGAGGGCTTGGTCTCAGTGGTCTCTAAGGTCCCTTCTAGCTCAAAGATCTTCGGTGGTATCTAATAAGTGTCTACTGGGCTGCATTGGATTGGATGAGATTGGCACCTTAGTAGACTCTCTCTAAATTGTCACACTATGAGGGAGGAGGACCAGAGCGTTCTACTTGGTCTTGCCTATGTCTCAGCTGCCACAGGGACCTTCCTAAAGCTTGAATCTAAAATAATAATAATAATAAATTAAAATTTAAAAAAAAAAGCTTGGATCTGACTATGTCTGACCACGACCGGCACCGGTGGCTCCCTATTACCCCTGGGATCAAATGTCAAGCCCTCTATTTGGCAGTTAAAATTCTTCACACCCCAGCGCCTTCCCACCTGTGAGTCTTCTTATACTTTGCTCCCCTCCACACAATGGATTGTAATCGAGTTACACTGGTCTGGCCTACCCCCTCAATTTCCCTGGCTCTCTTCAAGACTCTGCTTAAAGCCCACCTTCTCTCTCTAGAGGTGGCCTTTCCCAGTCCTCAATGACCTTTGGAGCTTTTAGCTCCAAATTACCTTCCTTCTACTCTACATCTCGTATGGACCTAGTTACTTAATGTTTTCTCCCTAGTAGAATGGAAGCTCCTTGAAGGCAGGGACTGGCTTGTCCTTTGTTTATAACCTAAAGCTTGGGTCAATGCCTGGCACACATAATAGGCCCTTTGAAAATGCTTGATAGTCAATGAGCATTTGTTAGGAAGCTTATTTTTGTTAGGACCTTTGTAAGGACCTTAGGAAGAAGCCTCCAGAAAATTAGCACAATAGGCTCACACTGGCATTGAAATGAGGATAGCCCCCGCTGAATAGTCCAACCCTTCCATTTTTGGGGAGGAAACTTAGGCCCAGAGAAGTGAAGGGACTAACTCAAATTTACATAGATTGAAAGTAAGACTGCTAAGATTCAAACCACAGGCTGCTGATTCCAAAGCTAATACATCTCCCTCTATACTGTGTTGTCAAAATAGCAATATTTTCTTTAAAATTGCTGCTCTGAAAAATAAATCTTAATTATCTATATGGTTCTGAAATCCCTCATAAGACTAATGCTTTGGATATAACAAATATAACTTTGGGTTTTTTAAGTATACTTGATTTTAACATTCGTTTTTTTAAAGATGTCAAGTTCCAAATTTTCTTCTTCCTTCCAGCCCCTCCCCCACATATTGAAGGCAAGCAACGATATCAATTACCCATGTGACATCACGTAGAACATACAAGTATAACTTTGTCCATAACAAATGACTGTCCCCTGTGAAATGAGTATTTGCCTGTCCCGGCCAATCTCCCACTTAACAAAGAAAGAGTTTTTTGCATGCTATGTCTCAGATTTTCTCAACAGTGTCAGGATCAGCATTATTTTAAAATTCTAAAAAAAACCCAACCAACTCTAAAATCATTCAGATTGTTCAACTGAAACTCAGGCAAGCACAGCTCAGTCACACAACAAAAAAACTGGCAGAATTGAGAAGAGGATGCAGGCATCCTCACTCACCACTTCTAAATATTCTTGGCAGACAATATTATATTATTCATCTACTTTTATGAACCAATGAACCAAGGCCTATGTATCTGAGAGAATTAACATTAGTGTTGACACAAGTCACAATAGTGGTTTACACTATTTACACAATAGTGATTTACAGAGCATCCTCAATTAAAAAAAAACAAAAGCCCGTGAGGTTGTTGTTACTTGTTTTTCAGTCCTGTCTGACTCTTTGTGACTTCATTCAGGGTTTTCTTGGCAGAGATACTGGAGTGGTTTGCCATTTCCTTCTCCAGCTCATTTTACAGATGAGGAAACTGAGGCAAACAGGGCAAAGTGACTGGCCAAGGGTCATACAGTTAGTAAGTGTCTGAGACCAGATTTGAACTCAGCAAGATGAGTCTTCCTGATTCCAGGCCTGGCGCTCTATCCACTACAACGCCATCTCACTCTACGACTGTGATTTATAGTTTGTAGATGGGAGAATACAGTCTCACAGAGCTTCAGTGACTTATCTATGGTCACCTAGCTAGTAAATGACTGAGTCAGGATACAGACTCAAATGTTCTCACTCTAAGTCCACGGCTCTTCTCATGTAGCATACTGGTTTTTGAAAGTAAACAGGGGGGGCAGCTAGGTGGCACAGTGGATAGAGTACTGGCCCTGGAGTCAGGAGGACCTGAATTCAAATCTGGCCTCAGACACTTGATACTTACTAGCTGTGTGACCCTGGGCAAGTCACTTAACCCCGTTGCCTAGCCAAAAAAAAAAAAGTAAGCAGGGAGGTTGTTTTTTTTTTTAAATATTAATTAAACAAACTATTCATTAATGGTTTCATTAATTCAGTGGTTTAATGAGGCAGCTAGGTGGTTCAGTGGTTAGAGCACTGGTCGTGGAGTCATGAAGACCTGTATTAAAATCTGACTTCAGACATTTCCTAGCTGTGTGACCCTGACCGAGTCACTTTAACCTCTGTCTGCCACAGTTTCTTCAGCTGTAGATATAATAGCACCTGCCTCCCAGGGTTGCTGTGAGGATTAAATGAGAGGATATTTGAAAAGCACATAGTAGGTGCTGTTTAAATGTGGAATCCCTTGTCTTCCTCTCCCTGAAATGAAAAGAAAGAGGCAAATCAAATTACCAAATCAGGAATAAAAAATGGAAATTCACAAGTGATGAAGAAGAAATAAAGGCAATTGTTTAAGATATTATACCCGATTGTATGCCAACAAAACTGAAAACCTAAATGAATATTTACAAAAATATGAAAACCGAAATGAAATGGATGAATATTTTTAAAATATGAAATACCCAAATTAACAGAGTAAGAAATAGAGAATTTAAACAACCCAATTTCAGAAAGACAAAATGAATTCCCAAAGGAAAAAAAAACCCAGGTCCAGATGGATTTACAAGAGACTTCTATCAAATATTCAAAGAATAACTAACTCTCAAAATGTTTGCAAAAATAGAGATAGAAGGCACCTTACCAAACTCCTTCTATGACTCAAATATGGTAATGAATATTGATGTGATATAGTGAATAAAATATTAGCAGATGATATTTATACCAGAAATGCAAAGTAATTTTAGGAAAACTATAAGCATATGTGAGCTAGGTATGTCCACGTGTAAAATTCAGCATGCTCATGAGTCATCTAAATGTGGAGACAGGGCCCTTGGGGGAGCATGGACAGATCTGACCTGAGGCCTCTGCAGAGGCTGGGCACTCTCTTCTCTAGTGCCCCAGATGGGTATTGGGCTAGAATTCTATCTATCTGCCTCCCTTCAAATAAAATATTAATAATAATAGCTAGCATTTATATTACACTTTAAGATTTGCAAAGTACTTTTCATATACTATCTTCTTTGAATCCCATAAGAACCCTGTGAAATATTCTTATTATCATCATTTTATAGATGAAGAATCTAAGACTGAGAAAAGTTAACTGATATGCCTAGAATCACACAGCTAGTGTCTGAGACAGAATTTGGACTCAGATCTTCCTGACTCCCAAGTCCAACACTTTATATAGTGTAAGGGTTGTGGAATTCAGGACAAAAGAGGCATTACCCCTAGTTGCTCTTAAAGGAGAGAGGATCCCTTAGTTTATGCTCACCAGCTTAGCTCTTTCCTGCCAAATGCTGATTACACAAAAGACTATCACAAATAGTCAATAATCAGGTGAACTTATTTATCTAAGCAAAAAGCAAACTGAACTTGGAGAAAGCACACAGATTAGAAAATGCATAAGAATAAATGAGTTCTTCAGTTGGGAGCAAGATAATATTTCAGCTCAAACTAGGCAAGAGAGAATGATCTCACCCAGTGGGAGTCCACTCTGGATTACAGGCTCTGGAAATCCAGACATGCTGAGGTGCCAACTTTCTCTACATATCTACTGCTGATCTTTTGAGACCATCCCTCTCCAAGAATGTCTGGGACTAACTCAGTAAGTTACTTACGTAGATATGCAGCATCATGCTCAGAATTCTCTCTGCCATTCAGGAGTCATGTTTCCTTCTGCATATTTATTATTTTGTTTTGTTTTGTTTTAGCTAGCATTTATA